ATAGGATTGTACACTTACTTTTCCACTGAACAGTTCTTGAGCAGCGTGTTGGGGAGCTCACTGAGAAGTTCTGTAAAATCGTCTATATTGCATTGTGTGACCAACTTGGAAAGCAGCGCAATTTGATCAGAAGTCTGTTCGGTCTCTGTGCTTAATGCCTCCTTTACCAGTTTGCTCCAGAAAACTTCCTTTAGAATATGAAGTACCGCGGCACTCACTAAAAGAGCAATTGTATTGAAACAAATAACATAACATATACAACAAGATATATTTTCCTAAAACTTTTCAATAGCCAGAAAAACACTCCCAGGTTGTTATAAGGCTCAAGGTTACATGCTAGAACTCATTCTGAGTCCCCCTCCCACCCCATTTTTAAATTAATTATCCTTAGCAGTGGGCAGCAGCTTCTACAAGAGATTAAAGAAATCATGGATATTTCCTATTCTCAGCAGTAACAGGTCTGAGTTTTTTCACATACCTAGAAATTCAGTCAAGGAGGAGACGATCAGATGAGGAACTCCTGATCGGAAATCAGGAAAAGGTGCTGCAACAGTGACATCTTCCTTCCATAATTCCAGACTATGATGCACATGGGAATTCTCTCCCACCTTTCTGTTTTGGCACCTCCAGTTTTATTCTCCGTAGATAAAATAAACAAAATATAGAGAAAGACCCCTCACACTGGCCACAGCAAGAGAGACCATGGGCATGCTGCAAGATATGGTTGGTCACTGCAGACCTGCTACAGGAGATGGTCAGAGACTGGTGGCATGCTTCCGAAGACAGTCAGAAAGACTATACGAGACTGCCACAGCCATTTCAAGCCCTTTACAAATCCATTCTTCTACTTTTGTGTGCTCTCTATAGCCCCCCTGAGGGCCACACATTAAGTGTCAAAAGGGCCGCATGGGGCTCCTGGGCTGCAGGTTGAGCACGAGGTCTCCCACAAAACTAAAATATCAGATAATTGGCTAAACAATAAAGATAACCCACAAAAATGCAAGGAATATCCTATATCACCAATCATTTAATTCCAAGGATACCAAATAGAAAAAAAAAAAAGGTAGAAGGAACACATGTAGGTAGTGTAGTAATAAATCCTTAATAATATATTTAAAAAAACCAATGAATTGCACTTACAGGTGAGGTACAGCTCTATCTTTTTCTGTATGTAGGATTCATAGCATGTATGCAAAGATAAAGATGTATTACTACAAATACTGTAGGGGTTGAGAGTAAATGTAACTAAAATCTGTATCCAAATACAAATGAATCCTGTATCCACCGCACTTCCTATTAACTATACCATAATACTAAAAGGTCATTTACCTTTGGTCAGCTGTGTACATTGAAATTGTTTTCTGGTCTTCAAGTAGATGTTGACTATTGGCACAAAGGTCTTTACATTCTTTCTAAGAAGCTTCACCATTCCAGGCTTCAAGCACCACAACTCAAACTGCAGCTGGTGAGTCCTGCTGCACTGTACCAGCAGAGCAGCCACACTTAGAGAGTCTGGAGTTCCCTTATCGAGGCAATGTGTCAGAACATTGACTCCCACCACATGGGCAAAGGCAGGTACTTTTTGTAGAGCATCAGAGACCAGTGGCTCGAGGTCAGTTCCAGCTGAAGACAACAATAGTCGTCCGACTCCTCTTACTTGTTCCACCCAGAAGGCTAGATCCTCTTGACACTGCTTTCTTTGGTGACTATCGTTGAGCAGTTCCACCAGCACTTTACCATAAACACTCAGCTGCTGATGCATGGGCTTTGCACTGTCCACAAGTAGAAATTCTTCTGGAAGCTTCAACATAGCAATAATGAGTTGAGCGGTACCCATGTATGGATAAAGGCCCTGCAAAGCTTCCAGCTGATGGGATAATTTACTTGGACTCTTCTTGCACTCTTCAAACTCTTTTAAGACACTAATTGAGATGGCTTCACAGTATTTGACCAAGAGATGAAGGTTGCCACTTTGTTGCAGCAGAGGAGTGCTGGATTTAAGCAGTTGGATCAGACCCTGGTTCATGGCAGATGAAAGGAGTTTAACAGTGACAGGGTTTAAGCTGTGAAGGGGGACAGACTGGCGCTGTAAAGCCAAGAACCATCCTTCCAAAACAGGGTGTTTGAAGACTGCAGACAACATGAGGTCTAAGGTCTAAAAATGAAAAAGAAGCACTTAGAAATTAAAGTGGTTATTTGATCTTTCCTACTTAAGCCTTTGAACCATGACTATAATATTACAAGATTTATCAAATATGTAAGATGAACCTGTATTTAAAAAAAAAAAGGCAGTACCCTTTGATGCCATCATTTACCTTCCCCATTTCTGTCCACCACCCCCATCCTCTTTCTAAAAGTCTGTGCAAATGCCAACAGTGCCTTTAAATAATATCCAAGATATTGTGATAGCAGGTCTAGCAAATATCTGGTCAGGCATCAAGCACTGCACTGTGGGAGGAAAGCCGATAAAGCATTGGGGTATGATGCTGCATTGTAGATTGAGGTGGTAGGCAGGATTGCCAACATAAAGCCACGAAAGTCATCCTTCCCCACAGCAGAAAGTTAGTTTATGATTGCTTTGTAAAGGGTTTCCTTTAAATCTTTAGCAAAAAGTAAATTTGAATCCGACTTGAAGAAGTGCTGAAGATAATAGTACTAAACAATTGGAATTATTTCTTTCTCCATGACTCGTGGGCAGTTTTACACCAGGCCCCCAGACTTCCCTTAAAGCTGTGCATTCACTTCTTTGTCTGAGCTTGAAGCCACTCTGAGGGGTGAATCACTTGTGTCTCCTTTCCGCACTGCTTATTAGTACCTGACAAATTATGAAGTATGGAAGCTCAGACTGTTGCAGGTTAGCTAATCACTATGAAGTGAACATGGGATCAACGTGTGCAACATGGATTTAAAAGTGAATCCTGTCAGTTTTACACCAATCCTAAAATGATAAAATTGTGCACACCAACAACTAGCAGAATTGGCAGTTCAGTGATAAATCATATTTAAAAAATGTCTGTAGTACTGTTCTGGCAAATTATGTTACAGTTCTTTTAGATGAACGATTGGAATTTATGGAGGGCTTCTAACTGGAGGATTTATGGAAACTGTGCATGCAAAACAGGATCGCTCTCAGCCTGTCATGTACTAAAGATGTCCACTTTTATTTAATTACCATGTTGCCAGGAGATTCCAGTGTGTTGCTGGCTTCAATAAAAAGTTCAGATTCTCCATTCACTTCCTCTTTGTTCTCATCATGGTTGTACTCTATCTGCTGGTATCGGCACAGAAGGTGGCCAAGAAGGTCCAAGTAGAGGCTAATCAACCCTGAGCCTGTAGACTTTTTATACTGCAAAACAAAAAACAGAATGTCTCAGCTGTTAAGCTTTAAAGGAAAAACAAAAATGTGATTTGAACCGATGAGACCTTCAAACAGCATGTGGTGAACAAATGCATAAGCAGATGTTATATCTAGTGATCACTGCATGTCAAAGCATTCAACTGATTTAAAGATACAGACAGCTGAAAATATATTCAAATTTCAAAACTGTCCATAAAAAGGTAGGAACTGCCCCCCCACTCCATCCCACCTCCATTTTAGTCCTTTAATTTGAGGAGGTGGCCTTATTGCCTTATAGAATGACTTGGGAGGCAGGAGATGGTTAAGCCAAGCAAGACTTTCCAAAAGTTATGTTTTGCATAACATTTCACATGGATATATCTTTGGCTCACACTGACTTCTGGCTTTCGCTAAAGCCATTTGTGTATTTTTCAATGTATGCTGGATTGTCATGACTCTCATGCACGGTATCCATCTTTATGTCCTCCTCTGACTGGGAGGGAAGCTGTATAGTCCCAGCTGCTTGTAGGCAAATAAAGTCAATGGTGGAAGAGCTGGCCTCATGTAGCCTCCAGAACTGGGGAGCTGAATATATTCAGCAACCTGTCAGTGGCATCACATTCCCAGAAACAGCACGCTCTTGATGTCAGTCTCATATATACGTGTCCACTGTTCACCACCAATGTGTCTCCAGTGTTCTGTGCTGGAAGTGCGCTTTCAGCACAGTGACCGAGCCTTCATCAACAGCTCTCGGTCACCATTTATGATCCGGAGCTGGGTACAGGCTCCCGATCATACAATCCCCGTGATTGGCTGCCACTGAAATCACATGATCAGGAGCCGGCTGGTAATTTTTTCTTTATTCAAGAAATGTAAACTGTCACATGAACATCTGGATGTGGTTGAAGGCTTGAAGCCTGACCAGCATAGGTTTCTTCTACACTGGGTTTGGAGGTTCTAGCACAGGGATGTCCAAACTGCGGCCCTCCAGCTTTGGTGGTACTACAAATCCCATGAGGCTTTGCAAGATTCGCACAGCCACAGAAATGACTCCCAGAGAGAGATGCTTCATGAGATTCGTAGTTCCACCACAGCTGGAGGGCCGCAGTTTGGACATCCCTGTTCTAGCAGGAAAGGGTAAGCTGCTTGTATACCCTTGAGCAAGGCTCATGCTTTTCTGCCAGAAACGGCCGTCCTCTTTGACTAAGCATGAAGCCTTTGGAGAAACATATATGAAGTGGTAAGGTAGAAAAACAGACACCCCCCCCAACCAGGTAAATCAGCCAAATAAATCCTAGTGATCAAAGGGGTGACAAATGTTGCAGCCAAATCGCCCTCACATCCATTATACATATCAACTTTATGCAAACTGGAGTATTCCAATTGCTGCAAACGGCAGATACACAACTTTGTTTCACAGCAAATTGCAGACGCATATATTTGCAAAGCACATAGTAACAATTGGGCACCTTGTTGAAGACCTCTACAGTAGTCTTGATGCAGAGTAGGGTATGTTTCACACACAGCGGTAGCCCTTCCTGTGGAGTGTTGGAAATGGAGTCTTTCAGCATCTGCCTAGAGTCATCATCTATGTGCCCGTCCACAAAAGTCTTCTTTAATAACAAATTATATGAAGATTCTCCATCTTGCTCTACACTCTCCATCGCAGATTTTTCTTCTCTGGAGAACTGGAACAAAGCAAAATCTTGTGTAATGTAAGATGCAGTATTTATCTTAAGCTGTAATGATAAAACTTGAGTAAACAAAATTCTAAAAAAAAAAAATGTATTTTTAAGAAAACTGGGGCATTAAATACACTGCCGGACAAAAAAAAGGTCACTCATTCTTATATTTCGTTGAACCGTCTTTAGCTTTGATTACAGCACGCCGTGGCATTGTTTCGATACACTTATGCAATGTCACAACCTTTATTTACATCCAGAGTAGCAAGATGTTGTAGTGATGATGGGAGAGTCGGACCACGGCGTAAAGTCTTCTCCAACACATCCCAAAGATTCTCTATGGGGTTAAAGGAGAACTATGAGTGGAGTGAAAATCACTCAGCCTCATAGTTCTAGCCGACCTGTGACAATGAAACTGTCACAGGTCAGCTCATTAGATTGGGAAGTGAGCTCACTTCTCGATCTATCCCTGCGGAGAGCCATGACTGACACTCACAGCTCCTTGCAGGGATTCTCCCCTCCCAGATCCTCCAGCGCTGACTGGCGGAACGGACGGGGGAGGGGGCAGGTACAGCTGGCTCTGCCTCTAGCTGAAGCTCGCGATATACCAAGCTTTGGAGACGAGAGGACGCTAGTTTGTGTCCTCCAGTTACACTATGGGGAAAAGCCCTGACCGCATAGTTCTGGACTCTGTGGTGGCCAATCCATGTGTGAAAATAATCTCATGCTCCCTGAACCACTCTTTCACAATCTGAGCCCCATTAATCCTACTACTCTAAAAACCTGATCATTCAGTATATTCAGGTAGGTGGCTGACATTGTTTGGGCACAGAACATTTATGAACCTAGACAAATTATCCAATAGAAGGCTCAGACCCAGATGCTTAGCCAAATCCAGGTGGTGACTTTTTTTTGGTGTTTTTTTCATGCCCCCTGAATGCATAAGACAGCACCCAGACTTAATGACATAAAAGGCATCACAAGTTTATGAAGTCAATTTAGACTCTCTCTGGACCAGGGGGACAAGGATCTGTAACAATGTCAGGCTGTCAACTGTGACATGTTGTTAGTGGACACATTAGGATAAGCTCACAAAACGGTTTCTCTCTCATTCGGCCATTATTTTCCCGATACCGTGCCTACCCAAAATTATTTGGTATTGACGTGCATTGTGCATTTAAACTTGCTAGATAATTCGGCTACTCCGGGAGAGTTAATTTCACAGTCCTCTCCCTCCCTGCCTTACACGTCATGGCCTTCTCCTGTTCTGGGAGTGTCTACCTACTGTCTATGCTGGCCCAGCTATTCCACCCATCCCATATAACTTTTTATGAAGCTGCGGGGAGAGGAGGGAATGTTAATACAATATAGTGTGACCTGAGTGACAGCTTGAAATCTGCTGGGGTTGCTGACATCACATCCATGATGGTGGCAGTCCGCAACAATCTCGGGGCTTTTGGACGTCTACACAAGCGAGATTTGTACTGGTAAATAACATGAATAAAGTCGACTACATTCACATATAATCTTATGGGAAGAATTTTGGTGAAATGAACAGTCTGGCAGGCAGCAACTGTGGCACAGAAACAGGGCAATGGTGACATTTTGTTAGTATTTTCTGGAAAAGGATCTAACCAAATTGGTTAAATCATTGCTATGACAACTAACTCATTCCATATGGCCTTTTTTTCCCCATGCAAGTCTGTTTGCTAACATTATCTATGGTAAATTCTCAAAGACATGACAACCAAATCAACTAATCATTACTAAGAAAACTTTTGCTCTATTTTTCAAAGGACAGACAAAATGATAACTGTTCCCGATATTGGTGGCATAATTTGGGTTTAAAGGAGACTGCCTGGAGGCTGCCACTGATGACCTACTCCTGAGAATGCTATTTGCCTGGTAGCCATTCTGATCAAACTGTTCAAATACTTTGTAACCTGAAATAACCATAAAAACAAGAAGTTCTCACTATACTTGCTACATATTGTTCCAGCATTCAAAGTGCTAGACCAGCCTGATACTTAAGGTGACCATACACTGTGCAAATTTCGGCACAGTGGGTTGCCACTGTCGGCACCCAGTTGGAAAATCTTTGAACAAACAGAGCTGGCAGCCAATGAGCAGCTGGTGGCTGCTGTTGGAAAACAAAGACGACAGTGGGAGATTCCTCAATCAACACTCGTAAGCCTTGATGCAGGAATCAGTTATACTTTCTTCGCTCCGCCCGCAGGTTGAAGGAAGAAAATATTACAGTGCATGGCCAACTTTAGGCATGTAACATCTTCTGAAGGAGGTCAGAAATTACCGATTTATTTTTCTCAGTATACGTTTCTTTTAACAAGGCTGATAAACAACTCCCTGAATCAAATGGCAGAAGACTACCAGAAAATGTAAAAATGAGAAAACAATGGTGACCACTGTAAGCACATCAGGCAGTGTCACAGTTTGTTCTGACCCAAGTCACTTTTGCTGGTTAGCTTGGCCTGCATGTATATAGGGGAGAAAATAAATAAAGATGTAATTTAAAAAAAAAATCATTTACTGAATGCTATTCTTAGAAATAAACACAATTAACAGAATACAATATTGTTCACAATAATGCTCCTTAATTTTCAAGTGCGACTTACTGGAGGCCCTTTAGCAGATGAAGGCAGCCACAGGCTGTAGTAGTTGTAAAAGCTGTGAAGTTGGACGCACCCAACAGAACTGGTTTCCAAAGGCTGCAACTCTTTATCGTAAGACTGGAGTAACAAGCAAAGGGCGAGCGGGTCCCGTTGGGTGTGGAGGATGTCAGTCAGGACAGATATCAGATAAGGGATCACATATTCTGAAACACAGAGAGAGGAAAAAGACGGTGTCATACTACAGAGTAGGTGAGGGCAAATGCATGCAGAATTCAGGAACCAGCCAGTCCAGTATGGCAGACCATTCTGAGGAATCATAGAACAACAAAAGTGAGGGCTCTAAAAACATTGTTACTGTGTATAAGCCATACGACTGCCTCAATCTAAAGATAATTCACAAATAAATTGTATATAGTAACACCACGCTACTATGCAACTATTCAGTGTACATAAATACCTTGAATATGGGCTGCACACCTTAACAAAAAATATTTATGTGACAACAAATAGCAGGTAAAGTAAAATATGTAAATCAAGCAAAATAAAACATGAAACAATAGTTTGTATCACTATATGCAAAATTCAATAAATTAACTGATGTTCCTTACTCAGTAGTCGAAGTGTAATCCCACCAGCTACTGGAATGGAACTCAACAGATCAGAATGATCACCTGTCAAAATGGCCTCTCAATGGAAATAAAACTCACTTGGCAGGGCAAGAATCCCCAACATTATAAACAAAGGGCCAGTTTTCTGTCCCTCAGAATTTTGGGAGGGACACACACACACACACACACACACACACTGTGGCAAGTGGGGGTAGAAAATGCCCCAGTATCAGTGGCAGTAAGCAATGGCCTAAGGTTGGCGGTGAGTGGTAATAAACAATGACCTAGGGTTGGCAGTCAGTGGTGATAAACAATGACCTAGGGTTGGTGGTCAGTGGTAATAAACAATGTCCTATGGTTGGCAGTCAGTGGTAATAAACAATGACCTAAGATTTGCGGCCAGTGGTAATAAACAATGACCTAGGGTTGGTGGTCAGTGCGAGTATACAATGACCCAAAGTTAGTGATCAGTGGGAGTAAACAATAACCCAAGGTTGGTGGCCAGTGTGAGTAGGCAATGACCCAGAGTTGGTGGTCAACGGCAGTAACAAAAAATAAAAAAATATTGTCAGTTGTCAATCATTGTTAATGTCACTGGAAGAAATAGTGCTACATCCTTGGACTTAGTGGCAGAAAAAATAGGATTTTGTACTCACCGTAAAATCCTTTTCTCTCCGTTCATTGAAGGACACAGGCAACAGATCGTAGATCCTGAATGGTAGGGTAATATCGCCACCTGCAGGAGAAGGACGCTAGGCACAAAACTAAAGACCAATTACAGCCTAGGGGCGGCCCCTGCCGGTGGCCGAACCCCCCACCTGCTGACAAGTCTCCAGTTTAGTAACAAGCAGTTAGGAGTGTACACCCCATAAAGAGGGCGGGGC